TGTAAAAAAAAATTATGCTTGTGGGTAAACAGTATTTTTTGATGTTTCTTTGTCAGTGTTGATGTAGAGATTGTCTGGTTTGCCTACTCTGAAACATGCAACATATAATTGTCCTTCTTTAGGGGTCCCTTTCAAATCTATGATACAATATCTGTGTGTGTGTGTGAATCATATCTATATCTATGGCTGGATGTCTCTTTGTCAGGAGGGCTTTGATTACGTTTTCTTGCCCTGTTGAAGGGAGTTGGACCGGATGGCCTTAAGTATTTTCTGTTGGCCATGGGGGTTCTGTGTAGGAAGTTTGCCCCAATTCTGTTGTTGATGGGGTTCAGAATGCTTTTTGGTTGTAGTTGAACTATAAATCCCAGTAACTACAATTTCCAAATGTCAAGGTTTATTTTCCCCAGATTTCATCTGTGTTCATATTTGAGCATATGGAATATTCATGCCAAGTTTAGTCCAGATCCATTGGTATTTGAGTCAACAGTGCTCTCTGGATGTAGGTGAACTACAACTCTCAAACTCAAGATCAATGCCCACCAAACCCTTCTAGTGTTTTCTATTGGTCATGGGAGTTCTGTGTGCCACGTTTGGTTCAATTCCATCATTGGTGGAGTTCAGAATGCTCTTTGATTGTAGGTGAACTATAAATCCCAGCAACTTCAACTCCCAAATGACAAAATCAAATTTTTAGTGATGGTCACTCCTTGGGTTAGTAGGTATCTTGTGGCCAAATTTGGTGGAAATTCGTCCAGTGGTTTTTGAGTTATGTTAATCCCACAAATGAACATTACATTTTTATTTATATAGATTATTATTAAACTGTTACCAAAACAATTTTACCTCCTCAGTTTCTTCAAGCACCTGATGTCTGAAAAAATAGCTGAAAATTAAAGTGGATTGGAAGTGACAGTGTAGCCACCATGGGGATTGAATGGGGTGGTACCCCTCCTGTACAACCAAAGATACAATTCTATCCACATCCTATATAAGTAGGATTGTACAATGCTTTGTGTAGTTGTCTACAGCTTTGAGTGTTCTCTTGAGAAATGAAAGATTTGAAGAACACCTCTGATAATTTTAATTTTAAAAGTCAATATTTAAATCAATTCACTTAATTCCTTAATCCATCTAAGTTTACAGCTAATGATTAGCTTGCTACTGGCAGTAAAATTATGCATCTACCTACAATTGGGAAGTACTGGGTGGCGGTAAAAGAGAACAGGAAAAAATACTTCATCTTTGGCAACCAACCAAAAGCTGTTTAATTATGTGTTTGTAAATGGACATATTAAACACAGCTTATTATCCTGAGTTTATGTATATTATTAGATTAACCTTGGGAAGTAAAAAACTGAACTTGATGAAAAAATTGCTATTTGTGTTGTTTGCAAAAAAAATGAGGTACAAATTCAGAAGTTAACAAAATAGATGGGAATTGTCAAAGCTAACTACACATCTTCAGAATGGAGCGTTTCTGTCATACAGAGAGAATATCCAAGTAACTTAAAAAATTGATCATTTGAAACCATCTATCATCTTTGAGTCTGCAAGATCTTGACTATGAGACAAATCAAAACACCATGCTAGACAACAATTCAGCATTGCAAAAAATAGTAATAGTAATAATCCAGGCTTTCCTTACACTTGGCATTCCTCATTTGAGCTCTCTCTTAAGATCAGTTAAAATATTCATTTCAACCTCCATTTTTCATCTATAGCTTGTTAAAGTCGTAAAAGACGGGGAAACTGCAGTTATGGAAACAAGACAATTTCAAAGAAGTTATGAAACTGACTTGTTTCAAGTAACAATTACCAGCTTTTATCACAGTTCATAGTCTGGATAACAGATCAAACCATAATTAATAAAAATTGAAACAGAATTTTCTCCCCACCTTATCAGAGGAAAGAATAAATGCATGGGAACTCATGAGAGAGGTTTATTCTTGTAATGTGCCGACCAAATGTATGCCATCACACTACTGAGATGATGCTAGAAGCCAGGGGTGTACATAATGCCCCAAAACTGTACTGTTTTTGGTTCAATCCCCCCCCCCCCCCCGGTTCTGTTTTCTGGGACATTCCCAAAATCAGGAGGGGGTGCTGTTTTTGTTTTGGTAAGATTCAATCCATTGGTGCCAATGGGGGAAACTTTTAGAGGATAATTTCTCCATCACTTTTAGATATATCAGGATTAAACTTGATTCGCTTGTAGGCCATATTCATGACTGCAAGCCTGCCAAGTTTAAGAATGTTTCACCAATCCACTGATTTTGGAGAATTTTTAAAAATTTTACCATAACATTTAAAAAACAAACAAATCACAAAAGGGGTTTCTGGGAATTGAAGTCCCAACCAGCACGTGCCACAAGAGGGGAGGAGAATGGACACAGTCAACCAGGCCTCTGATTGGCTGAGAAAGAAAAGTGAGAAACAGAGAGACATCTCAACTCCCACCATGCCCTGGGAGGGTGTGTGGAGGCTCCTTGAATGTCTGTGCCACACAAAGTGCTGCTGGGAAAGCAAGTTCCTGGCGGGGCGCTCTCTGGAGGAGAATACTAATAATATAATAATAAACTTCATTTGTACCCTGTCCCATCTACCCAAGGGACTTGGGCTGGCGCGCAACCTTAATAAATACAAAGATACATAAGAAATAAAATAAACAAATAATAATTCATCAACTCAATACAAAAACAAAACAAGATAACCCTGGGAGAGGCCTTATCTTGCCTCTCACTCTCTTTCTTTCTGTATTTCTGGCCTTATTTGCCTCAAGTGGGTGCTCCGCTAGGCAGAGGGCCTTTGGGAAGGGATGGAGAAGAATGCCAGAGAAGAAAGAAGAGGAGGAGCTGCCACTACCAGGTGCCTGCTGTTGCCTGATTTGCAAGGCCACCGACACGCTGTGGCCTACTCCTCCGGCAAAGTGCTGCTTAGTCCCACTGCCCCTATTAGCCAAAAAATCTGCCTGCTTGTGATCCATTCTGGTTAAGGTTTTGAGTGGGTCATGCTTGGTCTGTTTTCAGCAATCTGGCTGCCAGATTGCTGAATTTTCCCAAATCGCCAAAAGGAATTCTGCACACCCCTACTAGAAGATAATGAATTCATGAAGAAGTTAATAAATATTCTTTGAGATGTCATACTGGTAAAACAATGTATGACTAAAGGCACAACCATAGATTAGTTATACACTAAAATGAAAAGGCACCCCTGAAAATGTATTTTGATCACTTAAAATTTCAGCTATCTGTCAGAATGTACTGCTTGTGCATATTTCCTCATGCAGTCCACCTAAAAATTCACTGAAAGTAGGACACAAGATCCCTGTGAAAGGAGCTGTTTTTTAAAGGCAAGATACCACCTCTTTAGGAATCTCTACATTTCTCTACAGTCACCTTCCAGAAAACGTTATGCTAGAAGTCGAGCACAGAATCATCCTAGAAATCTCTAGTTCCCTCAAAATGGTTTTATGGTCATTGTCCAGCAGACGTTGGCCATAGAGTCATACTGGAGGACCTTGAGGCTCCCACAGAGAACATTTTAACTAAAGATGTGAATAATTAAATCAGCAAAACTAAAATCTACAAACATGGATGGCCATCTATGGTTGCCAGACTCATAGCATAAACCTGTATGTGTACACTGAGTATTAAGTCTCCTTCCTTATCTCCACTTGAGAGCATATACTATTATATCTGCCAGCACAGAACAAAGGTAACCACAGGTTGAATTAATGATTTGTTATCTTTTCTACACTCTCACCAACTCAGGGCCCTTCCAGATAGGCCAAAGTTACAAGAGGAACTGGGATATAAAATCCCAATTCCTCCCGGGATTTAGTCCAGACAGAAGTTCCAACTCCCACAATTTTGGTAAGCGGTGGTGGCAGCAGCTAGATGTTCTCCTGGGTCAAGAGACCAACCCGGGAGGGCATTTAGCTGTCCTTCCCCCTTTTAAATGTACCGGAGAGGCCTGGCTCCAACCTCAAGCCTCTTGAATGAAACTCCTGATGCATCAAAATGACATATAATGAACTTTGTAGAGGGGAAATGTATCATTTTGATACACCAGGAGCTTTGTCCAAGAGGGTTGGGGATGAAGGCAGGCCTCTCCATTAAGTTTAAGGGGGAAATGGGGGGCTAGGAGGGGATGGTGGCAATGCCATCCTGGTTCTCTTCAGTATCTTAGAACCTAAAGAACTGGGATGGCAATGGGGATCGGCCCTCGGGATCACAAAAGGCAATCCTCACAGGTCCAGTACCTGAAAAAGATCTGGAACTTAATGAAAGGTCTGGATCTTTTCAGGGGTTTTTTAATCCAGAGAAAACCTGAAAATCCAGGTGTACTCTTGATTGATCTGGATTAGCCTGAGGCATTTTATTGCAACTATTGCTATTACCACCTCTCCCCATGGATCAATTTAGCATCCAAATTGGAAGGATATGGATAAAGTTTGAATTAATAGCAAATAAATAAACAGACAGCTGTTCATCATAGGAAAAGGGCATCAAGTACCTTCTGTTGGCTTCAATCTATTGTGTGTTCAGTTACTCATGCTATCTATCAACAGGGCCAGTTATCATTTCCTTCTCAACTTTTCCATAGTGCAAACATAATTTTAGACAATCTGATTCTCCACTAGTGTCAGAATTTCTTATACTTAAAATTCCTTCAGAGAAGTGTTTGGCAGTATAAACAATATGCACAGTGCTGTTCTTTCAAAAAATACAGACTAGATAAAAATTGCATCCAAAAATCTTTTAAATCAAAAATAAAGAACTATTTATATAATGCTTTAACAACTAATTGAACATACTGTGTTAATGGATATAACCTAATTTAGGTTGACGTGGGACAGCATTAATCCTTGCATTAAGAAATTACAGTTTCCAAACTAATTAATCCACATAGAAATCTGACATGGAGATTATAACATCATTCTACTTCTCCATGAGAATTTTGTACTTTTCATCAAATTGCCTGAAAGCATCAATACTTACCACTGATATCTTCCATGAAGCATACATTGCCATTGGTGTTAAAAGCCAGGGTGTCAGGAGTAATGCAAAGTGTCTGGAATATTGGAACGTGGGAAATGCTCTTCAGAGACTTGCTGCACTCGAGGCAAATAGCCCAGATTTCTTCCTCAGTAAGACAACTATCCTGCAGTGACAAAACATCGGCCAGAGACACATTCTCCTGCCAAGACATGAATTCATACATTATTCCATATTTTATGACAATACGTATAGCCGGTTGTGTCAAACATAATCTACAATATCCAAACCAACACATTTTTAAATATTTTGATGGATTTTAACTGTGATTTTTTTTAGTGCTGGCTGTGTTTAATTCTATTTTAAGTTTTGCATATTTATATATTTTCAATTGTACACAAACGCTTTTATATCCAACCACTTTGAGTCCCCTTTTGTGAGATAAAGTAAAGTATATATACTGATAATAATAATAATAATAATAATAACTATAATAATAATTTCCAGCACATTCAGGACCTTCTAGTATAAAAGATATGAAAGACGTACTTATTGCACATTGCACTATTAAGGTAACCTATGATTATTGATCACTTTCTGATTCTGGATCCTAACTACAGATTGAAGTTTTCTTCTCTGAAATACTAGGAACCACAATTTTGGATTATTATTGTTATTTTGGATTTTAGTGTATTACTTACATTTACATAACCAGTTATCATAGAAATGGGCCCCAAGCCTAAACACAAAATTCATTTCTGTTTCATATACAGCTTAAGTATATAACCTAAAATACATTTATAAACAAGCTTTTTCATGAAACACATTTTATACACATTGAAGCATCAGAAAGCAAAGATGAGACTATCTCGGTCACTCAGGGCCCTTCCGGACTGCCATATAACCCAGAATATCAAGGCAGAAAATCCCACAATATCTGCTTTGAACTGTGTTATCTGAGTCCACACTGCCCTGTATTCCAGTTAAAAACAGATAATGTGGAATTTTATTCAGCTGTGTGGAAGGGGCTTCAGATTTTTGAGTATTTCAACTTTCGGAATTCCAAATAAGGGATACTCGACGTGTACAACTTTTCTCCTAGTTTGTAACTGCAACTGTCTCCAAGCTTCAAAATATATTCTATGTAAAAAAAAGTTCTAAGTTATAATTGATTCCTAAATGCTATATGGTCTGTGGGATGTAGATATCAATCTCCAATTCTGGAAAATCACGTCATTTCATCACTTTTCAGATGTGACTACCAAGAAATGTAATTGGACTTCTGGGAAGTACAATGAGGTGGCTACAATGTCTTATTTTGGATTCCTTGAAAAAAGTTGCGAGAATTTCTCATAGGATTTCCTGCCTCAGGTACCAAACTAACTAGAATGACCTTGGATACTAGGTATCTCTTGAGCTAGGAGAGCTGTCATTTCTTGTTCTGCTTCAGTAACCAGCTCTAATTAGAGTACAGAATTAAAACACAATCCCCAAAGGAAATATTTACCCATATATGATACAAAATAAAAATAAGACACATTTGTAAACATGACTGTTGCGGTTGCATGCTTTTACATCATTTCTGACGTATAGTGATCCTAGAGTGAACCTATCATGGAGTTTTCTTCTTATTTATTCAGAGTGGGTTTGCCTTCGCTTTCCTCCAAGGCTGAAAGGCCATGACTTGCCCAAGGTCACACAGTAGGTTTCTATGGCTAATGAGGGACCCAAACCATGTGTATATAGTCCAACACATACATCACTAAATCATGCTGGCACCTTATAAACTTGGTACCATTACACAACCTCTTCTAAAGTTCAAAAATTAGTTATAATGTCTCCAATTAGCACTATCTGTACTATTCTGTTGGAAATAGCAATCTTCTGTTGGAAATAGCAATCTTCTTCAAGCCTCCACTAGTTACCGTATTTGTTATGTATATAATTAAGATGGCCATCTGTCAGGGGTGATTTGAATGCAATATTCCTGCTTCTTGGCAGAGGGTTGGACTGGATGACCCATGAGGTCTCTTCCAACTCTATGATTCTATGATTCTAAGATTGCTTAACGTATTGTATATGTGTGTATTGGTTTGCAATTTTCCTTAACTCTTTTGTTGTGGAAGGGGTTGCAGATCATGTGAGCAGGTCTGGACTTGATCAGGACTCAGACTCCATTTTAGAAACAGTATGCTTCATATGCCAGCAGGAACAGTATGCTTTTAAGACAGTGATTCTCAACATGTGGGTCCTCAGATATTTTGGCCTTCAACTCCCAGAAATCCTAACAGTTGGTAAACTGGCTAGGATTTCTGGGAGTTGTAGGCCAAAACACCTGGGGAGCCACAGGTTGAGAACTACTGTTTTAAGAAAACAATAGGAACTGTATGCTTTAGACTTTAGTAGAAACAGTATGCTGTACAGAAGCCGTTAGATTCCATTGGACTTTCAGACTAGAAACAGAGACTCTATTAGACTCTCAGAACAGAGAAATGCATTGATTATAAGAATGATGCCCTGTGTTTTCTATGCAGAGAATCTACTTCAAATCTTATTTGTAACTGAATTGATATGCAAAGTACCTGTATGCTGAATACATGAAGTTTGTGAATAAACCAACTATGTTACGTTTAAAGAAGTCTACTTATTTTGTCTCTTGAGATCATGATTTAAATGCAAATATATTTTAAGGAAAAGTAGATGTTTTGGGGGCATCTAAAAAGAACACTTCTGAAACTCTCTCTGTCTCTCTGTGTGTGTTTTGTGCATTGGCATATCTTTGTCCCTAACAGTTCAAAGACATATCTAGGTACATTGGTTTAACAGCTGAGAAACCTAATTGCCTTGCTTCTGGCATCATTTCTCAAAAGGTTATGACTTGCAACAAGGTCATGACTTTCCAAAGATCATAAAATCTCCAAAAGGTTCTGGAGATTTCCATTTTCCAAAATGTTCATTAACATTTTTTTTATTGGGGTGAATTACTATTTTAAACAAAACCAATGACACGACACCTTTCAGGGGAACTTTGAGGTCCTAAGTCCTACATTGCCCCACAAAAAACTCCACCAAAAACTAAATCCTAAGCAATGGAATGAGCTATCTGAAGGACTGCATTCTACGATATGATTCTGAAATTTTTGACGTGACCGTTTAAATTTGTCACCTTCACAGACAAGTTTTGTAAGGATGTGTGAGCTCCTGGGAGTTGTAATAGTTTTCCAAGGTCTTTTGCCTTCTCTGCCAAAGAGGGCCGACTCCTCTACATTGAGCCATGGCAATAAATCTGCATACATCTATCTATCTGGAGGGTGTGCATATCAGGCACAACCCTCCAGGTGTTTTGGACTTCAGCTCCCACAATTCCTGACAGCAAGTAAACTGGCTGGGATTCCAGTTTACTTGCTCCAAGGACCCTTCCAGACATGCCCTATTTTCCAGGATCTGATCCCAGCTTTTCTGTTTATCCCAGATTATCTGGCAGTGCAAATTCATATAATCCAGTTTAAAGCAGAAAACCTGTGATCAGGTCACAGTCACACACACATAAATTGAACACACAGTGAAACCTCGGCAACACAGCTCCCTCCTTCTGGTGGATGTTCAATATCAGCCAAGGGGAGGGAAAAAGTTTAGCCAAGGAAAGCCTCCCACATAGCTGTACAGAATCCACACTGAACTGGATTATATGGCAGTGTGGACTCAGGGCCCTTCCAGACAGGCCCTATATCTCAGAATCTGATCGCAGGTTTTCTCTTTATCCCAAATTATCTGGAAGTGCAGACTCATATAATTTAGTTTAAAGCAGAAAACCTGTGATCTGGTCCTGGGATATAGGCCTGTCTGGAAGGGCCCCAAAACACTTGCAGGACCAAAATTTGCCCATGCCTGACTGTGTATACACAGTCACACACACATATACTGAAACACACAGTGAAACCAAGACAACACTGCTCCCTCCTCCTCATGGAAGTTTAACATTAGCCAAGGAAAAAAGCCTCCCACACAGCTGTATAGAGTCCACATTTAACTGGATTATACAGCAGTGTGGACTCTGTGCCCTTCCAGACAGGGCCTATATATTATCTCTCTATCTATCTATCTATCTATCTATCTATCTATCTATCTATCTATCTATCTATCTATCTCTCGCAGTGGGTTAAACCCCTGTGCCGGCAGGACTGAAGACCAACAAGTCACAGGTTCGAATCCGGGGAGAGCGTGGATGAGTTCCCTCTATCAGCTCCAGCTCCTCATGCGGGGACATGAGGGAAGCCTCCCACAAGGATGATAAAAACATCAAATCATCCAGGCGTCCCCTGGGCAACATCCTTGCAGACGGCCAATTCTCTCACATCAGAAGCAACTTGCAGTTTCTCAAGTCACTCCTGACACGACCAAAAAAAACAAACAAACCTATGCTAATAATATAATGTATTGTATTTATCTATCTATATAAATAAAAATGTAATGTTCGTTTGTGGGATTAACATAACACAAAAACCACTGGAGGAATTGACACCAAATTTGGACACAATACACCTATCAGGCCAGTGAGTGACCATCACTCATAAAAACACTGACAAACATAGTGGAAGAGACTTAAAAAGTCAAAAAACAAAAATTACATTACAACACATGCGCAAAACCACATATATATATATATGCAAACACACAAATACATACACAAAACACACATACACAGACTGGGCCCCAGCAACACGTGGCAGGGGACAGGTAGACTTCTATATAAATAAAAATGTAATGTTCATTTGTGGGATTAACATAACCCAAAAACCACTAGACAAACTGACACCAAATTTAAACACAATACACCTATCAGGCCAATGAATGACCATCACTCATAAAAAAAACTGAAAAACACAGCAGAAGGGACTTAAAAAGCCAGAAAATAAAAAATACATTACAACGCATGTGCATAACTACATATATACACAAGCACACATATCTACACATACACACAAATATATACCCACACACACACATATATACACACACACAAAACACATATACACAGACTGGGCCACAGGGGACGGCTAGTATATATAAATAAAAATGTAATGTTCGTTCGTGGGATTAACATAACTCAAAAACTCAGTGGATGAATTGACACCAAATTTGGACACAATACACATATTAGGCCGAGTGTCGTTCACTTATAAAAACACTGAAAAACACAGCGGAAGGAACTAAAAAGCCAAAAAGTAAAACATACATTACAACACATACACAAAACCACACATATATACACATATACATACACAAAGCACATATACACAGACTGGGCCACAGCAACACGTGGCAGGGGATGGCTAGTACACAAATATATACACACATGCATAACACATACACAGACTGGGCCACAGCAACGCGTGGCAGGGAGTGGCTAGTACACAAATATATACACTCATACATAACACATATACACAGACTGGGCCACAGCAGCGCGTGGCAGGGGACAGGTAGTACGCAAATATATACACACATACATAACACATATACACAGACTGGGTCACAGCAACGCGTGGCAGGAGACGGCTAATACACAAATATATACACACATACATAACGCACATACACAGACTGGGCCACAGCAATGTGTGGCAGGGGATGGCTAGTACACAAATATATACACACATACATAACACACATACACAGACTGGGCCACAGTAAGGCATGGCAGGAGACGACTAGGACACAAATATACACACACATACATAACACACATACACAGACTAGGCCACAGCAACGCGTGGCAGGGGACGGCTAGTACACAAATATATAGACACATACATAACACATATACACAGACTGGGCCACAGCAACGTGTGGCAGAGGATGGCTAGTACACAAATATATACACACATACATAACACATATACACAGACTGGGCCACAGCAACGCGTGGCAAGGGATGGCTAATACACAAATATATACACAAATACATAACACATATACACAGACTGGGCCACAGTAACGCATGGCAGGAGATGGCTAGTACACAAATGTATAGACACATACATAACACATATACACAGACTGGGCCACAGCAACGTGTGGCAGGAGATGGCTAGTAAATAAATAAATATATCCCAGCATCTCATCTCAGGTTTTCGGTTTATCCAAGAATATCTGGCATTGAGGACTCATATAATCCAGTTTTCAGTTTATCCCAGATTATCTGGCAGTGGGGACTGGTAGAATCTAGTTTGAAGCAGACAACCTGGGATCAGATCCTGGGATATAGGCCCTGTCTGGAAGGGCCCCCCAGAGAAGCAGATATTGTGGCTGATATGCCAGGATGTTCTGGGTTCTATGGCTGTGTGGAAGGCTCACCTCCTCCTCGGAAAGCGCAGGCAGGGCTTGGAAGTCCCCACCGCCGTCCACCTGCTGCTCCTCCTCAAACTTTTCCATGGTTTCCATTAGGAACTGAAGGCGAGAAGAGGGGAAGAGGCAGCCCTCGCCCTCCTCCTGCTGTGCTGCATCTCTTCTGGAGGGCCCCTTGGCCAGTTCGGAGGCTCCCCTTGCCGCCTTCCTTCAGTCTCTTCTTGTTTGCTCTCTTCGCCTGAACCGAAGGCGTTTGGCTCCATGGCAACAGACGCGCCTGGCTTCGGACATCCCGGAGCCGCCCAAATGCCTCGGCCAAAGCTGTGGGAGGAGACGGCCCGCCTTCCCCCAGGAGAGAAAGCTTGGGCTGCCTGTTTCTGTGGAGAGATATTACACCCCCCCCCCCACGCCCGAGGGAGCTGGCCTTCAGCCCTGCCTTGGAGGATTCCACTGCATGCGACTCTGTGGCAGCCAGAAACTACCAAAAGTCCTCTCAGGACCCTTCCAGACAGGCCCTATAGCCCAGGATCATCTATCCGTCAGACGGCAAGCTATTTAACCTCAGCCGACTGAAAGCCAAAACCAAGGTTACCATAACATCTGTTATAGAACGCCAGTATGCTGATGACAACGTTGTCTGTGCGCATTCAGAAGAAGACCTGCAAGCCACTCTAAACTCCTTCACAGAAGCATATGAGAAGCTCGGCCTGTCATTAAATATCAAGAAAACCAAAGTGCTCTTCCAGCAGTCACCAGCCAATCCCTCTCCAATGCCAGAAATACAACTTTATGCCATAACATTAGAAAATGTTCACCATTTCCGCTACCTTGGCAGCCACCTCTCCACAAAAGTCAACATTGACACTTTTTTTTTTTGTCATGTCAGGAGCAACCGCTCCTGTTGTGAGAGAATTGGTCATCCTTGTTGCCCAGAGGACGCCTGGGTGATTTTTTGATGTTTTTATCATCCTTGTGGGAGGCTTCTCTCATGTCCCCGCATAAGGAGCTGGAGCTAATCATCCACCTCTCTCCGGATTCGAACCTGTGACCTGTCGGTCTTCAGTCCTGCCGGCACAGTGCTTTAACCCACTGCGCCACCGGGGGCTCCTAACATTGACACTGAAATTCAACACCACCTGAGGTCTGCGAGTGCAGCATTTTTCCAAATGAAGCAGAGAGTGTTTGAGGACCAGGACATACCAAGGTGCTTGTTTATAAAGCTATTGTTCTCCCAAGCCTGTTATACACCTATATCGTTTTAACATAACAAAAACAAAGTATAAAATACTAAAAGAATTAAACAAGGGCGAGCTGGGCCAAATCCGAAGGGTAAAAATTGCTTATCCCTGATAGTTGCATAGTATTGCGACTGGGATGCAGCTGGCTGGGAGTCAGCTGCATTAGATCACCTCTGACCAAAAGGTCATGAGTTCACAGCCAGCCCGGGTCAGAGTGAGCTTCCGACCATTGTGTAGCTCGCTGTCGACCTTTGCAGCCCAAAAGACAGTTGCATCTGTCAAGAAGGAAATTTGGGTACTGCTTATGCGGGGAGGTTAATTTAACTAATTGACAATGCCATAAAAATCTCCAACAAGCATGCAAAGAATGAGGATGTACTCCATCAGTGTCACAAATGGACAGTAAAGTGACAGCTCCCCTGGTGGCCAGAATATCCTCATGAAGCTGGAATGTTAAATGGCCTCTGTGTGTCTGTATATGTATAGTGTGTGTCTATGGCATTGAATGTTTGCCATGTATATCTACATTGTAATCCGCCCTGAGTCCCCTCTGGGGTGAGAAGGCTGGAATATAAATACTGCAAATAAATAAAATAGATAAATAGTAAAACTGTTGTTTAAAATCTCCTTGTCTCAGGCTTGTCAGTATTGCACAAATGAAACGACAGCTTGGAAACGTTTTGGATTACAGTTTCCAGAATTTTTTTAGCTAACACGGCCACTGGGCATTGAACATTTTTGAGGATTGTTGCCCAGTGAGGTAATTTTTTCAAGCTGTACATAAAATATGAGCAACGCCCTTCCACCCCCATTTTCACTCCCAGCCTCATCTGCTGTTCTATTGACACATCACAGAAAGCTCTTAACAGCCCTATAAGCAGCACTCATTCATTTACTTGGCAGCAACCTGTCCTCAACTGGTTTTAATGCCAAGGGAATGGTTGTTCTTTTCCTTAAATATATGCTAGAAAAACAAAGTACTGCTGCCAGCAGTTCCAACACAGCCCACTGAAGATAGTTGATCATGTATAACCCAACAGTTCTGGGAGTGGTGCCCTGGCATTTTAAATAATAATAATAATAATAATAATAATAATAATAATAATAATAATAATAATTTATATACTGCTCCATCTCCCCGAGGGGTTCCCAGGCAACATCACAAAAACATACAAAGTAAAAACAACATAACCAAAATTACAACAGCAAAACAACAGAGAGGAAACAACCAGGCACAGATTAACACCTCCCAGCAAGAGATTTTCCCAGGCTCAGGCAGGCCTTCAAATGCTAATGGTGATCAGCTGAAACATTCACACCAAACTGCAGCAGGGAAGAGCTCCTTGCCCCACCCCAGCCATTCCACAGATATATAAACCCTTTGTCCTAATTCCAACAGACCTCACTACCTCTGAGGATGCTTGCCATAGATGCAGGCGAAACGTCAGGAGAAATGCCTCTATAGCCCGAAAAAACCCACAAGAACCTAACATAACCATAAGATTAACAAACAAAATATAAGCACAAAAATTGTCTTGAACTTGGTACCATTTTTTTTCGTGTCAGGAGCGACTTGAGAAACTGCAAGTCGCTTCTGGTGTGAGAAAATTGGTTGTCTGCAAGGACCTTGCCCAGGGGGCACCCAGATGTTTGATGTTTTACCACCCTTTTGGAGAGGACAAAGGGTTTATATATCTGGATTATATAGCAATGAAGAAGGAAGCTAAGTATGTTGATTTCTAAGGCACATTTCTCCCTTTTGCTATCAATTGTGCCTCTTCAAGCACTGCTAGTCACAGCTGACCTCCAGTTAGAACACTAAAGGCTTAGGGCTTTGCAATTCTCAGTGTCTATGCCACAGTTTTTAAGGTTAGCTTTATGCACATCTTTAAATCTGCCAACCAACATTCAGTTTTCCATTCCTGATTTGCGAGTATAGTAACTGCTTTGGAAGACGGTGATCGGGCATTCGGACAATGCGGCCAGTCCAGCGGAGTTGATGGCGTAGGAGTCATCGCCAAACTACCGCTCCCATGATTGCATAGCATTGAGCCATGGAAGTTAAAGTGGTGTCAAACTGCATTAATTCTACAGTGTAGATGCACCCTCTGAGGCTGAACGAGTGTTACTTGACCAAGGTCACCCGGTCAAGTAGGGATTTCATAGATTACCTAATAATAAACAACTATATTGATTTAAAAGACAAGAAAGTCCTGGATTTTGTTCCTATTCTTTCTGATTTTATTTTGGAGACCCATACATATTTTGTTTATTCCATAATATTTTCTGTCAGTTCCTGGTACAACCAGAGACTGTTTACACCACCTCCTCAGTTCAGTTTATATAAACCCACTATGAAAATCAGAAAGAACAGGAACAAAATCTGGGACTTTTCAACAAGCCAGGATGTGCCCTGTAGTACATTTTGGGCACATTACAACTGAGGGTGAGAGAATAACATTCGTTACACTATGATTAGAAGAATACTCTCTTTTTAAGAGCTTTGTTTACTACCAGCTCGCCTGAAGCTTTTCGTTTTAATTTAGTTTGGGTAAAACCACAAGAAACGGGGGGTGCCCTAGAAATAATCATTTTGTACAAACAGCCAGTTTGACCTGTTTAACTTTTATTATAAAGGGTTTTCTTTAACAGCTCTTCTGTCAATGTTATCTCTGTCCATAAAAAAACCTCTGCTTCTTCTCCTAGCAGCAATTGCATCATTATTTAAGCAAAGGAATCCAACAATAGCTGACTTAAGCTCTGTGTGAAGCAGCTGTGGGGAAGGAAGAAAGTAAATATCATGTTTTACTGTTAACTTCCTGCTATTAAACAGGCACTGCACTCACAAGACCCATAGCTGAAGATGTTGCAGTTGAAAAAAAAAATCCCTCTGGTATTATGATATGGAGCATTAAGTTACATCCTGAACACCTAACAAGCATATGAAGATTTCTGGCAAGCATAACTAACACGTATATAAAGCCTATATAAGTATATAATTCTCTCCTTAAGGATTATTTTAATGCAAGACTATATCCATTTTATGGCTGATTATGGGAGTGGTGGTCATAGTTTACAATCTGCACAGGTGTTAATTTATTTTTCAGTTCAAAACGCAACAGCATTCCCAGGATCAGGGAATTGCTCATTTCCTTCCTATGTATAAGGATGCTGAAATTTCCCTTCTGATCTATTTTCTGTACTCAGAAACTGTATCCTAAACTGGGAAACCAAGGCCAACTTGTTCATGGATTCTAGTAGGACTTGTCACTGGCTATTGAAGTCTAATTACACAACAATCTATGAAAGAGTTTCTCTAACAAGATCAATAATGGTAAACATGGAGAGATGGTTTAGATATTTATTTATTTATTATTTATTTATTTATTTCATGCATTTCTACCCCTCCCTTCTCCCCCCGAAGGGGGACTCGGGGCGGCCTCACACAAGCATCAAATGATGCTATCAACATATAAACAATCAAAAAATTACATTTAAAACATTTTAAATAATTAAAAGCACATTATACAATTCATTAACTGATAAATTAAACATGCCAATTAAAACCAAATCCAAGTCGGGTAAATCCAAAGTCGCAAATATCTTAGGTTTTCTTTCCAATTGCCGCTGTCCACTAATGAGACCAAAAGGCATGTTCTGAAAAGTTACTTAATGGTTCCTTCTCTGGCCTATTTGAATGAGAGTCCTTCCACACAGCGAGATAACCCAGACTATCAAGGGAGATAATCCACAATATCTTCTTTTAACTGGATTATCTGAGTCCACACTGCCATATAATTCAGTTCAATGTGGATTTTATATAGCTGTGTAGAAGAAGCCTTAGAAATCAACATACTTAGCTTCCTTCTTCATTGCTATATAATCCAGATTATCAAATCAGATAATCCATATTATTTGTTTTGAACGGGATTATATGAGTCTGTATTTCCATATAATCCAGTTCAAAGCACATCTGGATTTTATATGACAGTGTAGAAGGGGCCTAAGACATCTACATTGTAGAATGAATGTAGTTTGACACCACTAACAGCCATGACTTGAGA